TTTCATTTTCTTCTGTAATCAAGCAGTGGGATCTTCAGTCCACAGAACTCAGTCAAACTTTTGTTGCCAATTTAGGTGGGCTTGGGATTTCCCATAGAATATGTTAGGTGCAAAGCTGATATCAAGTATGAAAATAGCTTTCATAAGAATAACCTCTCTTATAGTTTTTCTGTGAAAATAGTGATTCTGTTTGACATTTAAAAAAATTGCATGCAGTGTGCACAATCAATACATTTTAATAACAGAACTTAAATATCATTGTAATTTTGATGGATAACTAATTAAGGAAGAGCTATAGGGGCTTGCCTAGTTGATAACCTCTTCTTTGAAAGAATTTACAACAGTTTGCATTGAATCAGGAGAGAATGAGTTCCTCTAACATCTTTGGTGCAGCTGCCTATTGCTTAAGCCATAGCTGAGATAGTTAATGGGGTTCAGGAGGAGTATGTCCACATAGTTTGTCCACGGGGCTGTTGGGTTATACAGACTGTGTGGTTGGGTGGCTGTGGTCTATGTGGAGCCTGTGGGGAAACCTCTCCATTTAACCGGAACAGCAACTGATGATTCGATTTCCCTTCCAATGAGAAATTGTTTTATGAGCTACTCCGTGTGTAGGAACAGTGAAAGACAGATATGAATGCTGCTCATTACTGAAAGATTATTAATTAAAGCTTCACAGCTCTTCAGAAGGCTCAGTGGAAAGGGAAGCCTTCATACCATCCTCTCTTCTGCAGGTGTTTTGCAGGAAGACCTTTGCAGAGCTTCTGAAACTAAACATTGCAAAACTTGCAAGCACCTGAGCTTGATTCCAACATGTAAATGGATAAGAAAATGTGGTTGGATACTTTTTAGTATTGGAAGCCCACAGATTTTAAAAACTCATGTAAATGAAAACAAATTTTCTCCACAGTTTAAAATTGAACATAGCCATTCCTAGGGCCAAAAATTTCAGTACAAAAAGAGAGTTTTTGTACCTTCTTTGCTATTTTTTGTTCTTTAGAAGTTAAGATGAAAACCGGTGCTGGAGATAAAAATCAGTATTATCATAAACTCCTCTGCAAAGCTACAATAGAGTTTTTTTTAATAGGGTGTGGCATACTTCTGTAGCATAGTACATGCAAAATAATGACAGAAAAAACATTATCACAGCCTGTTTTAATCTGTTGGATTAGATGAAAGTAAAGATTTTTGCACTGCATGCTTAGGTAAATGAGCAATTAAATTTGTGTTCACTTACAATCATAATAAAATGCTACAGCGCTTTTGGGATGTGGACCTGTTGTATTTTCTCTGAATCTGCTTCAGTTGTGCTGATGGGGTTTTATTGTTTGCTTTGTTTATTTGTTTTGTTTTGGTTTTGCTTTAGGGAGGGAGAACTAGAGGAGGTAATTCAAAGCTCTGGAAAACTGAGTTTGACTACTTGAATCACTTTGGAGTAGGTAGTGTTCATTCAGACGTTCTAAAGCAATTAAAAGTCGAAATACATTAATTAGTTATGGTATGTAGTCTGACACTTAAAACTGCCTCAGAAATAGTAACTAATTTGACTAGTATCCATTTACATAAAAATGATTATTGGATGAAATGACAGATGAACAGACCTTATATGTGTATAAGACACGCTAGTCGAAATCTTGAAAAATATGAAAGAATACAGTGTATCAAGGAAGAGTTATTACAGCTTTAAAAAAATGCATTGTAGATATTAAGATCAACAGAGTGTTGATATGTATTAATATGTATTATTGCTTAAAAGATCTTATCCCTTCTTATTTACTCCCTTTCATTTGTCTGCCTCTTTAATGTGACCATATCTCCCTCACTTTGTTTTGCAGTGTTAAATGCAGCTCTTTTAGCTGTTCCTTATGAAAGATTGTCTCTCCTTCTCTGCTTAAAAGACAGAAGTAATTTCCCCCACTTGTTACAGCTTGAACGTGTTCTCTGTGAATGCAGCTGACCTAATATTGAATCCATGATTTCTCATGAGGGAAGCCTTGTCAGTGTCTTGTGCAATGGTCTGAGTACTCTGACATCTTCTCCAGTCTAGTGCAGGTAGGGTGGCAGTGGGATAGACTGTGTCCCAGCCTGAGTGGGTAGCTTCAAGTACAGCACTGTGCCATGTGAGCCCATTTGCTCTGGTCTTGGATAGTTGAAGAACCTTTAGTTCTGCTTTCTGCATCTGCAGGTGAGCATGGCTGTGGTACATCTGCTGCATCTCTGGTGTCTAACAACCCATCATTGACATGGTCTACCCTGGGTAAATCCACCTAATGTCTAATTCTGTTTTCTTTGAACATCAATTTCCATAATTGTTCCTGGTTTTGAAATTCGCTGTGTGTCAGTGTTGGGTAGCTTTTTTGACCCTACAAGCTGCATACCAAAACCTTCGTATAATTCAGAGCCATGGGACGTCAGCCATAAATGTTGAGGATCCAAAGAGAAAACATGTCGTGGTTCCATTTTTTCAGTCTTCTGGGGTGGAAATTGTTTTACCCACCTGCACTGATCACTTAAGCTCTTAGAGGTTTGCTTCTAGTTGGGATACCACCTTTATGTGTTGCAGTCCCTAAATTTCTGGATACTGTTCAACGTTCAGGTTGACCTTGATGAAGCTAGCCAGTGTAGATGCTCTCCATTCAAGGGAGGTTTCAAGGAGGATTGTTCAAAATTTTAGTGTTTTGAATTTTATGGCTTTTCATTCTGTAAATTGCTTGGTTTTGGTTTTTGTTTTTGTTTTTGTTTTTAAATGTTTGGGCATCAATAGGCTTGCAGTTCCTTATTTTATACCTTGATCTTTTGATTCAGCTGTGTTTGTTTGCAGATGTTCACAATTTGAAACAAGATTGTAATTAGGTAAGCTCCCTGGTACTGGCAAACTACTTTCGCAGTGCCTTTCTGAAAGGAAAAATACACGCTGCTGAAAACTGTAATTGAAATAAACCACTCTTTATTCTTTGCTGTAATTACCATAATGTAATTCTGAGCACAGGTGGGAATTTTCTATTAATAGGACTTGTTTAGACTAAAAAAGAGAAAATGGCAAGGAATCATGCCAACATTTGTTTCCAAAAGAGTTCTACAATTACTTTAGAAAGGGGTAGTAAGAAATAATTTCCTAAATGACAGGGTTTGTTTTGGTTTGTTTTCATTTATGTGTTTGCATGTTTGTCTTTTTGAAGCTATTTCAAAATTTTTGTATTTTTAGTATTGTATATTCATATTTTATTTCCAAGCGTATCTCCCAAACTCCATTTTTGTCCATCCTCACTCCTGATCTGCATAAATACTCCCAGATTTACTAATTGATTGGCACGTATTCCATTAATACAAATGACTTACTATGCTACACAGCAAGCACATGTAGACTCTGAGAGACCCCTGAGTGGTCACCATATTCACAGCTGCTCCAGGAACAATTCTTTCATTCCAGTGTACACAATCTTAGTTCATATCAATTCACTTACTGAGCCTGTACTAAATAACTGAAACTTCCAGAGAAATTTAATCACTCTCTATAAATATGCCATCCTTTGGCATAATTTTTTGTCTTGTGTGAAGTGATATTCTTTCCCATTTGTTTCTATTAATCAGATAATACCCTGAAAACTGAAAATTTAGTCTTTTAGTTGGTCTCACTGCACATTTTATTCTTGTATATGAATGTGTAATACTCAATATTGGTTTTGTGGGTAAAGGAAAGAGTTTTGCAAGCTGACTGAATGAGAGGTGGTTTTTTCTTTATGTTTAGATGGGTTATTTTTCTTTCATTTTTTGATCATCATTTGCTTTTGCATCGTGGGTCAGGATACACAGTTCTGTTTGTCTGCTCTCCCTGTTGGGTCAATATTTTATGTACAACTGATATATGTACTGCCTATTTTTTCTTCTTTCCAAACCAAGTCTTGGCTCATCAGAACGTAAAGAGAAAAGAACTTTTAAAAGCTCTGGGCGTAGATAGAAAGGGTCATGGGTATCAGGGGCTGAATGAGAACCATGACAAAATGCCAAAGATCGGAGGATGTCTTAAGCAATAAGTCCTATGGGCTATTCACCAGTTAGCCTTCTATATATAGAACTGCCATCCCATTAGTCCTTCCCCAGTCATGCTTCTGCACGCCGACAGCTGAGCAGCAGATGGGGGCAGTTGTAGGCTCTGTGGAAGTGCATGTAGTTCTTCATTGACTTTCTTCTGTTCCTCAGGCAAATCTGAACTTATGGTAATAGGGATTTTGCTTTCTTTAGAAGATGAATATCATCCTTTTTGAAAATTTTTACAAATGTTTCACAATCTTTCTTCTTTGAGGTGAAATTGGTATTTGAGCATTTGCACCTTCTTTTGTGCTGTCTTAACATCATCATCTATTTTTGTTTGACCCCTCACTCTTCATTTCTGTGTATAAATAATCTCAGGAATTTTTGTCACATTCAGGTAAGATGATCTCAGACATCACCTCTAATTTTGCGTGTAACACTATATTCAAAGAGTTTGTGTGTATTCTTTTTGTCAACCCTGAATTCGTTAGGCATTGAACTAGATGATCATTGTAGGTCCCTTCCAACTGAAATAATTCCATTCCATTCCATTCCATTCCATTCCATTCCATTCCATTCCATTCCATTCCACTCCACTCTTTTCCCTCCTTTATTTGTGTTACATCTTGTTCACCATTTGTTTTCTAAGTCCAGGTTATCCGAATGAAAAAATAAGATAGCAATAGTTTTACAATAAAAAATTGTTTTTTGTTTACCTGCAAATTTTATTCATGTATTACTTCTTGCAGGCCACTGCAAGAGCTTAGTCTATTACAGCAGGCTTTGGGCTTTCATCAATTTCAGTGGGAGTTCTCCTATGAAGCCCTGATGTTGCGCCCATGTGAGCAATAAGGATACTAATTTCTCTGTCTGCAGTACCGGCTTCTGAGTTATTCCCTGCTTTGGGTGTGGAGGGGAGGGGTTATAAGAAACCTTTAAAACCAGCTTTAATCTTTGATGTATTTTAGGATCTTGACAGCGCTACAATAGGAAGACAAAGTTTGGAGAAGGAGATCAGAAACCTCCAAGATAAACTGACTGCTACCCAGAAAGCTTTGGACGCCTCAAATTGGGAACTGCACAATCTGAAGAAATCTTCCAGTGAGCTGGATGGAAGCTTGAAGAGCAGCAGAGAAGAGGCCAGGACTGCTCAGAGCTCTTTAGTGGCTTTTAAAGAACAAATTGCTACCCTACTCAGTTGTGGATCTGCAACAGTTAAACCTTCTGAGAAGGCCATTTTGGAGAGGATCCAAGAAATAAATTGCAAAGAGCAGAGTAAAGAAATAGTAAGTCAACAACTAATGCACTTGCCCAATGTGTGTATTTATTCTCTTTGGATTCTTATTCATTTTATTCATCTGTTAGAGTGGTGGTTCCTTCTGCTTAGGTTTTGAAATTACAGAAACCTTTAATTTGATTTTCTGTTGATTTAAAATAATAGGCGAAAAGCATCTATGTTTTATTAAGTTGGAAAAGGTCAGAAATGAAATTAATAATAGATGCTATTAACAAAAAAAAAGACATGAACTGGCCTTTCAGTTAAGACATTGAAATTTGGTTTCAGTGGCACTAAGCAGATGTCAAAAGTGGCTGCATTGTCGCTATGATTTAGTGGAACATGTGAACAAGTATGGATTTGCTGCTACAATAGCGACTTCAAGGACAGACTTGTTTCTCAAAGCAGACATAATTAATGAGTTGCCCCAGGCAGCTTCTTTCCCTCCAATCCTCGAAACCTGCACCTACAAAGAAAAAAGTATTTTTACGCTTACAGTTAAACATTGTTGAAACTGTAACTGTTTGCCATCCAGGAGAAAGGCAATAGGAATTTGGACAGTGCGGTGGATTGAAAACTGGCTGGCAAATAGAGCTCAGAGAGTTGTTGTTAGTGACACAGAGTCTAGTTGGAGGTCTGTAACAAGTGGTGTCCCTCAGGGGTCAGTACTGGGTCCAATCCTGTACAATATATTCATCAATGACATGGATGAAGGGACAGAGTGTACCATCAGCAAGTTTTCTGATGACACAAAACTGGGAGGGCTGGCTGACACACCAGAAGAATGTGCAGCCATTCAGTGTGACCTGGACAGGCTGGAGAATTGGGTGGAGAGAAACCTTACGAAGTTCAACAAGGGCAAGCGTAGGGTACTGCATCTGGGAAGGAATAACCGCGTGCATCAGTACAGGTTGGGGGCTGACCTGCTGGAAAGCAGCTTTGTGGAAAGGGACCTGGGAGTGGTCAACAGGACGACCATGAGTCAGCAATATGCCCTGGTGGCCAAAAAGACCAATGGCATGCTGGGGTGCATCAAGAAGAATGTGGCCAGCAGGTCGAGGGAGGTCATCCTCCAGCTGCGATTATCCTTATTTTAGAGGTAAAGAAACTGATGTTTGGAAAAACAGGTAGTTTTCCATAACAGTATTAAAATTTGTTTATTTGGGTGCTATGCTGTAACCTCTCTCTTTCTCCCAGAAAGACCTGCTGACTTTTACAGTGGAAAATAACTCCTTTTTAAAATATATATACTAAAAGGAAGCCTTTATTACTAAGACAAAGCAGGTATCAGCCTCAGTCTGCTGCTGCCTAAATCTGCGCTTTGGAACTAAAATGCTGATCTTACAGTTGCCAGCTTTTCTTCATTTGTTTTTATACAGTAGAGGAGCTATGCCAGGTATGTCTAGGCTGCCCAGAGAGGCTGTGGAGTCTCCCACTCTGGAGACATTCAAAACCCGCCTGGATGCCATCTTGTGCAACCTGCTGTAGGTGACCCTGCTCTGGCAGGGGGGTTGGACTAGATCATCTGCAGAGGTCCCTTCCAACCCTGACCATTCTGTGATTCTGGAAGGCAGCTGGGTATTCTCATGCTGGAGGTGGTTTGGCTGGTAGTGTTTGCGAAGGTGCGTTTGCATGTACAGGTAGAGAAAGGACAGCTCAGGAGGAAGGCAAGCCAGAATACAGTCTGACCAGTGTCAGTATCCCAACACTGCACTGAAGTTTCTCACTTGCTTAAATGGGCATATATTAATTTTGTCAGCGAGGATGATTATATAATTAAAAGTCACACACTAAATCAAAAGCTGTTTTCACTGAGCACTGATAAGCAACTTCTGTGTCCTTGCCGGATTCTAAGATTCTACCATCTCCTGCTGATGTGATATTTTTTTATGTTAGCAAATGTTTTTGTGTTCTTTCCAAGATTGTAAATAGCTCTTGAAAATACCCTTGTGCATTTTGATTAAATATTTTGTTAAAAAATACAAAACAACTCCCTATACCATAGGTTGAGAGTCAATATGCCAAATTTCAGTGAAAACAAGCTTTGTGAAAATTATTAATATGTGAAAGTGATCCACTGAAGTGGAAGTGTGGCAGCAATTTTTTAATATATAAGCTCTTTACAGTTTTGCTATATGTCATGGAGTGTTGCTTCCATAAGCAAAATTTCAGAAGCTTACATTTCAAATTGAAATCTAATGAGAATTTTATGTGCGTTGGTTTGTACTTTTTGGTGTTCTGGCATACAGTACACTCTGTTGAGATGTTGATGAGTTTGAGAACTGCTGAGAAAGGAAAATGTAAGTTGACTGGTAGCTATTGAGTAAAAAGGTTTTGCTCCTGCGTATGCTTTCAGGGGACCTGCTGCTTTTGTAAGACGCAGTTGCAGCTAAGTCTGCTTGCGTACTACATTGAGCAGCTGTTAGTTTCTTTGTGGATATACAGCATACAGTACATGCATAGTGCGTCCTACTTATTTCAGTTTTTATTACTCCTGATATTATTCCTTATTATTAGCTTTATATGCTGGGTTGCCCACTTGATCATCCTGCAGACTGGTAATATTGGAGAGGATTCAAACTTGGTCTTTATTTTGTGGCAGACAGGAACTTTTCCAGCTGCTTGAGAGGAATGTGACTGCTTCTCCAAGTAACAGCATTGCTTGGACAAGTCACGTTCTGTTACAAAGAACTGCTGTAAAATATTCAATAATCAACTTTTCTTTTTCTAAACAGCTGTGATTATCCTTATTTTAGAGGTAAAGAAACTGATGTTCGGAAAAACAGGTAGTTTTCCATAACAGTATTAAAATTTGTTTATTTGGGTGCTATGCTGTAACCTCTCTCTTTCTCCCAGAAAGACCTGCTGACTTTTACAGTGGAAAATAACTCCTTTTTAAAATATATATACTAAAAGGAAGCCTTTATTACTAAGACAAAGCAGGTATCAGCCTCAGTCTGCTGCTGCCTAAATCTGCGCTTTGGAACTAAAATGCTGATCTTACAGTTGCCAGCTTTTCTTAATTTGTTTTTATACAGTAGAGGAGCTATGCCAGGTATGTCTAGCATAGCACTTTGCCTCTGCTAGCAAATACAGCAGTTGCCTGCTATACTTGTAGCGGTACTCCCCCAAAATGCTAGTCTTTCTGAAAAAAAGACCTAGTTTCCTGAACCATGAATATTAGCTTTAAATTTAATACTGCTTGGTGAATTTTGTGATTGTAGTTGAATGATGAAGTTTTGTGGATCGCTGTATTTGCTAAGTATGTTAAGTGATGAAGCTTTAATGTTTTGCTGCTGTGACTCAGTTCGAAAAATGTATTTGCATTGCCCCAAAGTGAACTGTGTTACTAAAGCAGTGCTGGCATCTATTATCAGAAGAGTTTCTACATTAAGATTAAGGGCTTTGAAATAACTACGATAAAATACCCATATTATGCACCTGTGAATCTGTTTCTAATAGAACATAGACTTTGTCACCAAAAAGTTGTTTTACGGTGAGCTGCTTTTCTGTCTGCAAATCAGAATTTAAAAAAAAAATTCTAACATTTTAACATGTTAATATTTTCTAATTTCTAATCAAGGAAAAGATTGTCTTCAGATAGGATTTCATATAGACCTTTCAGTAAACTGTCCAGCCTCAAATAAAAGACCCACAAAAGTGAGCCATTAAACTTCTTGGTAGGGTAAATTAGCCTCTAGTGTTGCTGGTGCCCAAGCTAGCTTGTTTTGAAACAGACCCTTTGTGGCTGCAATCCAGCAGCGATGCCAGGACACCTAGGGACATGAATCCAGCAGCCAAATGCTTGCTGCTGGAAATTAAAACTGTGCTAATGAATGCGATAATGTAAAACAGGAGGAGGATTATAATTAGGTCCTTCCCTGAGTAAAGATTGTTTCATTTCTATCAGGACATTGCTGCAAGCAACTTACCTTTGCAAACTAGATTAGGGGGATCAGGAAAAAACAATGCAAGAATCTGGGAGAAAGAAGACCCTCCCTGTTTGAGAGTTTTGATGCCTTCTCTAAACAGGTTTTGGGTTTTCATTTTTAAATCATCACTGCAGCTCCTCTGGCAGTTTTGTGTATAGGACTGAACTGGCAAAATGTTCATCTTTACATCCAAGTCTGGTCAGCTATATCTGGCTTACCTCTACACATGCACCTGTCAAACAGAGCTGTGAAAAGTTTAAATTTTAAAAGGCCTGTGAGAAGATTATTCACTGCAACTGCTATAGTCAGATATTCTGTGAAACTGCTTTCATTGGATTTTCAGAGAAATCTGAAATACTCTTGAAGATTATGTCTCCTAATTATGGTGATTTTGGTATCTGAAGGATATCTGAGTTAGTCACAGTCTGTGTACTAGGCCTTAACATCAACATTAGCAAAAATTGTAATTTCATTAAAAAAAAATCAGCATGTACTCTGACAGTGTCCAGTGATAGGTATTCTGTTGCAGGATTAACAAACTGCTTTGAATCAGTGTCTTAATGATCTTTTCAGCAGTTATAGTAAGATGTGTGTCATCTAAACATGTTTGGACAGCTGTTGGGTGTTTTTGTCATTTACTATTTGTAACATACCAGAGGAGCTCATGGGCACCTGGAGTCCAAGGCAAGGAACTGTTCTCATAAAGAGCTCAGCCCTGGTTATGGGGTCTCTGGGTTCAGGTCCTTTCTGTTTGACAAGTTTTGTTGCAAATCTGTAGCAGCAAATTAAATTCATACAGCCGGAACTGTTTCTCTTGACTACCTACAGCTGATCTTATTGTAGACTCTCCTAATTTTATCACTTTTTGTCATTGCCTATTGATATACAGACTCTTAAGTTCCAAAATTGATGAGGCTCTATTGCTGTTCCCATTAAAATCTTCTGTTGTTCTCGTTTCTTGATGTTTTTTATGGCAATATCATAAATGCATGTTTAGTTTTAGGGATTTATCCACTTTATCCTTCCAAACAAAAGAACTGAGTGGAAAATAATTTGGAAAAATAAATTAAACATTGATAAAAGTGGAATAATATATGTACTGACTTAGGGCTGACCAAGAAAACACAACCAACTAGAATGTGAGAAATTATGAGGAAAAAAGTTGAGAAGAAAATGAAAACCATAATTATGCCACTGTAATCCATGGCTGCTGCATTCTGAGTAGCACACACAGTTATGATAATTTAAGTCCAAAAAAGGGACTTCAGAAAGTACTGGGAAGGGCCATGGGAGTGTCTCGAGGCTTCCATGCAAGGAAAGACTCAACAGACGAGAACTTTTCAGCTTGGGATGGTGAGTGCAATGCAGTAAAGCAAAATACAAGTTGTAAGTACCATGATAAGAGATGTGGCAGCTCTAATGCTTTTCAGCTGGTAGAGATCTTAAAAAAAAATTGTACTAGGTGTACACGTGTGCATGCGCATATGGGTACGCATAAAATAGTGGGATGTTTAAGTAACATCTTACCAAAACAGAACAGTATAACTTATTGATTGCCAAGATAATACTAAGAAGATGAGAATATTTAGTTGTTGTATTGAAAAAGAAGAAAAAAAAAAAAGCCAGTGTGATGTGAAGGACCTTCTAACTTCATCCTACATGCTGCTTTTTTGCACCTATCCTAAGTCCACCACATGCCTGTTTCTGTGGCTTTGGGGCTGTTGAGGGAAATGCCCTATGGACTGAATAGCTGTAGCCTGCCTTCTGTTCTGATGCCTTGTGGGTCTGGGCCTGGGGCTTGCACGTGCCCTCTTCTTGGCACAAGAAAAAATAAAAGCTTAGCACAAGAGAAAAATAAAGTTCAGGAAGATTTCAGTGGGGATTATTTAGTTGCAGCAGGGATGAACCCCACTGTCCCCACAGTAGGAGTGGCCTCTGGAAATTAGTATTTGCAGCTTCTTGTAACACAAGAAATAAAAGGTCTTAGTTTGAAATTATTTGGTAGCCACATTAAAACAAAAAGCGGGAAGTGTTTTTTTTACAGGCTGGCTGGTCAACCTGCACAAGTCATTGGCACAGAAAATTGTGTAGGTCAGAATTGCAGGACCAAAATTGCAGCCTTTTGTAAGTTGCTGGGTACAGGCATGGGTGGGTAATAAAGGTGCAACTCTGTTTTAGGAAATCCCTAAATTGTTGTTTGTCCTGAAGCCAAGGATGACAGTTGCTCCAGGATACTCTGGAAGATAAACTGACAGCTTGGTGGTTTTGTGGTCTCACCTTCTGTGGTATGAACCCTCACCTTCTCATGTTTATGGACCTTTGGAGCCTGTAGAAGCCCCATGTGGCTGGTCTGTGTCCAGAGCCGCTCTGCAGCCTGATAAAAGGGGCTCTGGGTTCTCCGGCAGCAGTGTGTCGCTGTGGGCCCAAGTTACTGAAAGCATTTATTTTTTTTCCTGCCGAGTGATATGAGATGCAGAAAAGTGTAAAATGTGTGAGGTTTTTTTTGCAGTTTTATTATTGTTTAGTGTTTTCTATCACTGTACAAGCATCAGTAATTTCTTAGTGTTTTTTAGGTGAGTTGGGCGCAAACTATTGTTTGTATTTAATTGCAGTCTAAGTTGGAAACCTTTCTGTGCCATTAAAATTAATGGGAGTTTTGTGTGCTTATTGTTCATTTTATTAACAGGAGGCAAACATGCTTAAAATGAAGAGTCTGCTTGGAGATAAGTGTCTGAACATTGAGTTACAAATGCAACAATTAATTATGTAACTAAATAATTGTATGACAGTAAGAAGAGGAGAGAGTGAAAGAGGGAAGCAAGCAGCTTTTTGGATAGAACTGTCAGTATTTGGCAGTAGTATCATCAGGTGCTTTCAAGCGTTTAATTTATAAGTAGTTTACGACTTAAAACCATTACATTATACGTAGGTGTTGCAAACTTAACAATGTAGAGCTAGAATTGTTTTCAGAATTGTTAGTCTAATTTCTTGTTATGAGATTTTACCCTTTTAGCCTTGGGCTCTGGCTAGATTACAGAAATTATTATTATTTCTTAGCAAAATCTTTTAGTTAAACACCCTTTAACAGCTAACAATTGGGAAGCACTCCTCTGGGACTTAGTTATCCATATGTACATTCTCACCTACATGCTGCATGTATTTTCTAAGTCACTTATCTGTCATTTCCACTCACCTCCTCAATAGGCTAGTGATTTTTTGGCTTATTTTAAAGAATGTTAGTTGACTGCCAGGTGTTGCTGGCTTGCTGATATATTTGGAAAGTTTGTGTCTAAATTTGTATTATTTTTTTATAGATATTAGCCCCTTTTAGTCAGTTGGCTCAGCTACGGTTTCTGCTGTTCATTTTTGGATGTCTCAGGTTACCACTTCTGCCATTTTCTCCAGAAAATGACAGCAGATTTTTCTCTTTTTAAATGCATGTATTTTAAAGATAGATATCTTACCCCCTTTTTAATAATTTGAGGATACATCTTTCATATCTTTCTGATATTTCCACACCCACCTAACCCCGTATGTTTTGTTGGTTTGCTTGCTCCCTAGATGGTATCTCAGCTTGAAGCCCAAATAGCTAAATTGACTGAAGCTTTGGAAAATCAGACCAGATTGTACCAAGAAGTTCTAGAGAGGAGCAGGAAAGCTGAAAAATGTTCTGAGACTTTCCAGGATCAACTGAAACACTTGGAAGAGGAATTACTGTCTGTACATCTGATGCAAGATGGTTTGAAGCTTGAGAAACAAAAAGTAGTTGCATGCATTATTTTCTTTCACATAAAAGTCACTAAATACAGAGATACAGCTAATTGTATTGCATTTATCAGCTGGAGTATCACTCACAGTACTGCAAGTAGTGCGAATTAGCAAAGTCAGGCATCATGTAGGGAGTAGTAATATCTTTTCTTTGACCCACAATTTTAGTTGGAAAAAGTAGCTAAGCTTTTGAGTTCAAAGTCCATTTAATGTGAAAAAAACCAAACCAGATTAAAAGTAGTCTCTATCAATACATCAGAAGTCCTTCAAGGATTCTCTGATTTCAAAGCTTTCTTTGATCTCTCCATCTTTCTCTAATATATCATCTGGTCTGCAGTCTCTCAAGATCTTGCAGTCCTTGATTCTTTTACATCCTTAGACCATCAAGGCTACCAGTATTTTTTTATTAATTGTATGAACGAACACACTGTTAACCTACAACACATCCGCGTACTAAGAGTTTGAAAAATGACATACTAGCTGGAAGGCTAAACCAGCCATCCAATACAGCTAAGAAAGACGAAGTTGGAGCATGTTACCAGGCCAAGATCAATGCTTAGAAAGTTGAATTTGCAAAGAATCAACAATTTGGTGCTGTCTGTTTTGCATTAGTCTATGACACAGTAACTTTTATGAATGAAGCATCCACCACATTGGGAGCAAACTAGAAAATGGAGCTGTTCCTTCCCCTCTGAGTCCTCTGTGAAGAACATGTGGCCCTAGTTTCTTAATGTCGGTCTAGATTTTACTGCAATAAAGAGATTTTTGTTGTGATTTTTTTTTTTTCTGTTAATGAACAACTTCAGCACTTTCTATTGCTGCTGCTGTTTTTAACTTTTTGAACTAGAAGGATCATGAAACAAAAAGAGATTCTTGCTATGTTTTATCATCTTGGGCTCAAGCAACAGTTATGGAACCGGTTTGTTGTTTTCTGTTTTGTTTTTCTTTGTTGTTTGCAAAGATTGTGACCTGCAACAGGGGTAAAATAAAGGCAAACATAGTTCTTAGTGAGAAGGAGAGCTTTGGATTTTGCAAGAGAGGCTAATTGAGACCAGGGAACAAATGCAATTTTTAAAGAGCTAGCAGGGCAGGACAAAACCAGGAAAAAACAGGTTAAATAATATTTAATATCGGTATGTGTTCACATCAGTAAACCAGATGGAGATGCAATTAAAATAATCTTTAAAGCAATTTGTAAATCAATAACCGTTATCTCTAAAACTTGCTGTTCCAAAGAAAGGCAAAAGACTGATCACATTAACGTTCCTGCGTCTCCTCAGACTACATGAGATCTCACCCATGGCACTGTTGGTAACAGTTTTACTCATTTTAGAGTTCACAGCAGTGGGCAATCACAGCACTTGCAATTAGTTGGGATCTATGTCTGTCCTTTCTAACTTCTCCCTGCCAATGCATGGCTGTGTAAAGTGGCAGAGCCACAGACAGGAACTGGAGTCAGAAGCAGACATGTATACTTAGTGCTCTTCTTACTGCAGAGGCAAAATCGAATCTGGTCTTGCTAAGAAGATAAATACAGTACGTCCAGGGATTTATGAACAAAATAAATGTTGACTAAAAAAGGACGAATGGAGAATTTGCAATTGTGTCAGAAGTGTGTACTATAAACATAACCTTTCAGTGCATTATTTCTTGTGGATAGTGGACTTGACTACATATAGTTGGTTGCGGGTGTAGGGGCAATTGTCTTTAAATATTACTTCAGGATTTTTAATGACGTTTTATTATTCTTTTACCTACTTTTCCACATCTTATCTTAGTATCTGAAATTTCTGGAGCAACTTAATGAGAAGATGAAGCTGGATAGCCTAGCAGCAGAGGTTGGATTTGATATGAATGTGGATGCAATTCTAGCCCGGGTAGACCAGTTAGTGAAACTGGAAGGTGATGCAGTGATTGAAAACAAGACTATGGCATATAGCCTAAGAAGGAAGGTAGGCAAAAAAGACATACTCTTACTTTTTGCTTCAAAGATAAACATTATTAAGGCTGTATTTCTATAGTGGCTTGCTGGAGGCAGCAGACTGGAGCTTCATATATGTGCAAGGAATTTCAAAGATGTTCATTAGGTAAAAAGAAGATGGTTAACGTTTGCAAACTGTGCAAACAGACTGCATATTAAAACAAGTAAAACCACCAGTCAGTTAAATACATGGTACTGCTTTTCACAGCTTCTTAAATAAATGTATGAAGTTATGCATGTTTATATGTGTATATATGTCTACTTTTTAATACACATTTATAATATACTTCTGTAAGCAACTACTGTCAGTATTTAAATCTGAAAGGATCTGCTGGGAAGGAGGCATCTTACACAAACATCTACTGATGTCTAGTAGGACATCAGTTGTACTTCATCAAGAATTTGAACATTTCCAACAAGAACTGTGCTTCTTTAGGAGCAAATTGGTTGAAATTTGTTCCGATAACCTCTGTCATCCTGTTACGACAGAGTGAAATTTTCTGGTTTTAGGCTTATCAGGATGGTTTAGAGCTTAGAATTAGGTCTAAGGTTTAAACCAACACTTTTTTTTTTTTTTTTTTCCTGGAAGCAACTGCCTCTCTTGCAAAGAGTACAGTATGTATGTTAATACTCCTCCTCAGATGTTCCAGAGTAAAGCCTGGCAGCTCAGCTCAGGTAAACTGAAAACAGGTAGCTTCCTGAGCACCAAAATTCTAAAACTTAGCTGCTGGACCTTGTATAGGAGCAGTGGATGAAACCTTTCTTGTTTCTGTATGTTGGTTCTCCTTGCATGCTAGCCTTAATTAATTAAGGATGGAAATATCTTAAACTACCACCACCACCAAAACCACTGTCTCCTTAATTAATCTCTCTTACCTCTTCCATTTGACAAGTCTTATATTTCAGACAATCTCAGATGTTATGAATGATGCACAAGTATTTATATTTAAATAGCAGGCAGTCTACATGGATGGAAAAGCACAATGAATTGGTAATATAAGAGGTATCAAGTTATTGTATATGTTTATACTGCTTTACAGAGTTTTCAAGAGAGGAATAGGAATTGAGGTTAAAGAAGCAACATGGGGATTAATTCTGCAAAACAATCTGTGTGGTACTATTGTCTTTCATGTATATTGTTTTTCAAATATCCTTGTGTTCGGAAAACTAGTTGAAGACTCAGAAAGAGAAACTTGAAAGCAAAGAGCTGCACATGAACCTTCTGAGGCAGAAAATAACCCAGCTGGAAGAAGAGAAGCAAGGAAGGACTGCCTTAGCTGTGGAGAGGGACGAGGCCAATTTTGCTGTCAGAAAGTTACATAAGATGATGGAGAGGCTACAGAAGCAGCTTGATCTGGCAAGGGAAACAAATACTGATCTCAAAGCCAAGCTGTCTGAAACAAATGAACTTAAGGTGAGTTAAAAGGTTACATTTGTGCTTCTATCCATTATTCTTTTCCAGTTGGATACAGCTGGAGTTCATTTACAATAAATGTGTTCGTGGAGAACTGCTGAAACCCATCTAGATGGGGAAAGCAAATACAATATTACAACATTTTGGGTATTTTGCAAATTGTCTTAATATACTAAATAGCATCTGTAAAGTACAATGTACATTTTCAGGCTAGTGTGAGAAAAATATGATATATGCATCCCTTTCTTTCCTGTAGATATGGCTATAATCTTATATTTTCCCATACATTGCTCACAGAAGATCTATTCTGATAGGTATGGGGGGAAAAAAGTTTTTTTCCCCATATAAACCAGGCAAGATGCTAAATTTTCATCATTCCTGTGTTTTATTACACTCCAGCAGTAATAAATTACCTGCTTTAACGCAGGTGAAAACAAGTAGTTTGCAGTCATTGATAGCTCACCACTGCTGGAAGAAAAGAAGATTGAATTTATGTGAGTTTATGTCTTGTGGCTGATGGAGTGAAATAGATAAGTACGTGCATGTTCTAACTGAAGGATTACCAGCAAAACATTTGGCAACTCTTTTTCATACTGTTTTTCCAGGGGCTAGCAGAAAGTGGACTCTCACTGTGGGTTTTTGTCTGTCAAGTTACCTCTTTTCGCAAAACCTGTAGAGAATTATTTGTCTTTGAAGCAAAAATATTTTTGTTAATTGAGTTGGTGCACACGTCCATGTGATTTCATGAAGAACACATAAGAAACCACATTAAAGTACTTACTATGATTACTCCTGATTATCTGTATTATTTGTTTGTGTTAGATGAAAAAGTGTGACAAATTTAACATTACTTTATGTTTTCGCAGATCAAAACTTTGGAGCAGAACAGAATAATAGAAGAACTCAACAAGTCTCAATGCAAATTGGAAAGAATGAAAGAAAAGGCTGAGAAACAGCTTACCTCTGTGAAATCAGAACTTCTTTTAAAGGAGCGTAAAGCTGCTGAAGATAAAGAAAAAAACAAAAATATGTTAGAAGCAGTTACCAGTGAGATGAAGGTGCTTAAAACAACCCTTGCAGAATTGGCAAAAAGGGAGAGACAGGTAGGTGTATAGGTATTTGACAAGTGCTAGCTGTCACTTAGAATATAAGAATGAGGTACAGGTGGACCAGCTAACCACCTGTGCTGAAAACTTTTATGAACATTATTAAACAAGGAAATTTCAGCTCACACTTGTGAGCCAGTCACAGTGGTGATTCTGGGTGGCAAAGCTATTCTTTAAGTTATATATGCAACAGAATATATAATAAACACAGGCATTGTTTTCTTTGTTCACTGCAAAATATTATATCACCTTTTGGAGAAGTATAAAAATGCTTTAAAATCCTAGTGTCTTTTAAAGGTGTGTTTTTTCCATATGTCTTAGGTATAAAACTTACTTGCATGTTACCATGTATAGGTCATAAATTCAAAGAATGTTGGAAAAGATCAGAAAATTAAAAAAACCCAAAGAACAAAACAAACCAGACTTAATATTGAATGTAACTATTTTGGACTGATTTGTCACATATAACTTTGTTAAAGTTTAGGTAAGAAAAAATTTTTGTGATAACTCACCTTGGGGACGGTATAAGGAGTATGTGAAAAACACATTAGTAAATGTATTCCATTCTAATTTAAAAAAAATTGTGAAGTATGTGTGTAACAGACCTGCATATTGTGTCTTGTAGACGGCGTAATTGTTGAAAGCCAATGGGATACTTCTTTAAAATAAAAAACGTGTAATTTTAAATCCCTTATTCCAACTGCTTAGAACTTTGTTAGTTTTTCCAGCTAAAATTTTTATGCTGTGTGTTTGCCTTAGCAATTACTCTGGATGAAATTTAAGAATGCTATTTCAAAAAATGAGTCTAGAAAAATCCTGTTTTGCTCACACGGAGAAAAAACCCAACAACCTGAGGATCTTTCTTCCTGAAAAGCTTTAGCACTGTTTTATTTTATAATGCAGGTTAGAAATTTGGCAGGAAAATTTAATTTCTTCATATGTCTCATGAGGAAACAGAGCATCCTGCAAACAGAAGGAGGCAGGAATTATAGTCAGGAAATTATTCCGTGGAGTCATACATTGAGTACTTGCTAAAAACACACAAATGCTGAATTTTTACTGACTGAACCCAAGACATTTCAAGCCACTTGAATACTGTCACAGTGTTCTTTGGACAAATTTGAAGAACGTGGGAAAAGTGAGGTAAGTGGACTACAAAGGGTGGAATGCTCAAGCTTTCTGGGTTAGTGAATGAAAAGCTTCAACTTATAATTCACCAGCATCCAGAATCATCTGCATCACAGGAACATTTCAAATACCTGTAGGTGGAAGTATACTGCTAAACTGGGAGCAAAGCAGTTTGCGAAACCAGTGCCTGGTATTTGTGCAGTGCTGATTAGCAGTAATGACATTTTGAGAATATGAGAATTGTTGGTAATATTCATAGCATATTCTTCTGTATCTTAACAGTTTGCTTAGCTAAAATTTGTTCTTAAAATAAAGCTACTGTTGCTAAATCAGAGAATTCATTCTAGACTCTCACTAATTAACATGTGAGTTTTTATCCTGACTTCTCCCGACCCATTATCCAAGGAGAATTCCTTCCTTGTCCCAAAACCTGTGTAGTTCTTCACCTGCTTTGGACTCACTCATTCTTTGTTCTCAGGGAAGCTAAACAAGACCAGACTTCTCTCACTCTCTGTGAAAGCTAGTAAATTCAGATGTTAAATACTTCTCTGAGCACATGTGTATATATTTAATCTGAATATAAGCTGTGTCACCTGTGTGTGTATGCACATTAAGAAAACTACTAGAAACTGAAATTGCCCTTACCTGATGGAGTTGTTGATGTCGCCAGGTTGACTGCTTGTACATGCATTTGCATATTTTTTTCATGTATATATCACGTTTTTCTCAGGTTTACTCTACTTTCCATGGATATCACTATGTGTAACGTTAAATAACATCATAATACTGCGTGGCTACTTTCCATGCTGTCAAATTTAAAAGCATACAGAATTGAACTACTGCTAACTGGTTAAGACACTGATTTGTCTTGTGATCATAAAGAAAGGCAGAACATACCCAAGTGAAGTAAAAAATTAAGATCATATTGAAGTAATTTAAGATTAACTCATAACTGGGATTTAACACAGTGTTTCTGGTTGTTCTTTGCTCTTTAGACTAGTAATTCCTACTAAGTTTAAGAGGAAAAATTAGCTTTGGCATTTCTGTGTTTTGTTTCTTTTTTCAATATTTTTTAATCTTTTTTTTTTAAGAGAATGCACAGAATCCAAGCATCTGAATTGTTAGAAGTGAAGTCCTGTAAGTAGGGTGTAATAACTCTGCCAATCTGCTTTAGGATTAACAGTCAGCTCTGGTGACTGTAGCAAATAACAACAAAGCATGCATATTCTTGAAGACATATAAAACCATTAAAGAAATGGCATTCAAAGCATTATTAAATCATACTACAGAGCAAAAAACAGAGGGGTCAAGCTATATGTGAAGAGTCCAAAAAGTACATATTACTAGAATATATAGAGAGGGGAATCAGTTGTATATTGAAAATTTACAAGACTAAGTGTAAGTTTACAGATATCCATACTGGATTTCCTCTGCCTGTGGGGTGAACAGAAAACCTCTCTGACTTCATATACCATTGTTTCATATTTCTGAATATAAATAAATAACAGCATAGCTGACGTGTTTTAATAAGACTAGATAAAGGGTATGCATAATGCCTGACGGCAAAAGGATGTTCACAGGGACTGATAACATTAGTATGTGACCATTGCAGTCAACCACGGATTAAAATCTGAATATATTTTATTTTTATATCAATTTAACTAAATTTGCAGTAGTACGAATATAATTGTCAATGTTTTGGTTGAGGTTTTGATGGTTTTATTGTAAGGATTTTTTCCAGTCTTAGTTCGACCTCCCCTTTATTTTTTTCCTTTCTGTTGGAATAAGACCCCTTCTACTTTCCTGTAGGTACAGAGTGAAAAGAAAATGTAGTGTCTATTTTTTATTTCTGCTCCCCCCTCCTAATATCTTGGGTTAATACTCTAAATTGCATTAATTTCCCCTCTTTTACTTCAGAAAATTTTACTTACTGGATAGAAGATGCAAAGAAAAAACCTTTAGTTTTGAGTATTTAGTGATGTTTGTCTTTTATTATTTCTCTCCTTTACTTCAAATTGTGACTAACTTAGAAATATTAATTGCTATTGAAGAAAGCCTTAAATAGAGAGTTAGGTGGTACTTCTATTAGCTTGTAGTATTTCTGTTCTTAATACCTCTGTTGTATCGTTTTTAAAGCTGAAATACATATCTAATTTTTTTATAGCTCTTATATGTTTTAGTTCAAGATGTTAAAAAGTTATTAATGATGTGCTTACAGCAGTGTATTCACTTAAGACTATAAACACACATCTTGCTCCACGTGAGACGTGCAATAGTGTTCTAAAGATCATCTAGAGTGTAGCATCTGTTGCTTTTGTTTGAAGTTTTTAAAATTCAGATTGATGTCCTCTGGTTGGGCACTTTTACATCCAAGAATGATGGTTCTCTTTGTCAGTTTATGTGGAGAATTTCTCTTTGTAGTCAACCCTTTTCTGCATTTTCACTGAAATACAGCTTTGTCTGCACTGTTTTATATGCCACAATATAATAGTCAGAAAAGTTTTTTTGGTGTTATTCCGTTAAAGTGGAAAAACCCCTTCAATTTAAAATTCACATAAATGCCCACTAGCTTAAAGGATTTCTTTAAGGGGTCTGTGTGTTTTCCAGTTTAGGTTATTTGCCAATGAAAGTTATTGAATTCTTAACATACTTATTGTCCATTCAGTATAGCTATGACCTGCTTTTCCCATCAGAAAGGAAGAGTGAGATGATTGTGTATATGTTTTTTCTTTGTATCTATTCCCCCTGGCAAAATTCTGCCAGATCAGTAATCTGCATCAGTGTATCAAATTTAATTTGATTGCATTTGATACATGGTTGTAATGCAATTTGATTTACTCACAGTTGCTGTAATTAAGTTGAACATCTTGCAATAACAAAGATATGAGAGCAAGAAATTTGGTGCAAGGTGCAGATGCTGGGATCGGTTGGGTTTGTTGTATAGACATCTTGTGGGGGTTTAATTCATCCAAAGACCGGATCTTTGCAGAGGGCTGCCTTGATCTTTTAACATGAAGTCTGTATGGAAGCAAATTCCAGCTCTGCTGCCTGCTTATCCTGTCTGGTTAAAAAAAAATGTTTAAAATTTCGATCCAGATGTTTAAAAAAATCTTTAGCTTCTGCTAATTTGTCTAGCACTCTGCCAGAGCTCCACATCAGTGACCTCCCGGCTTGGTACTGAAGAGAACTTGGGGGTTTTGGTGTTACATTGCTCCAATGTTTCATCCAAGACATTGCACTGCCTTGGTAATAAAGATAGCTGGGATGGAAGTCTCAAATCCTTCTGCCCTATACTGTACTGATGGCAGCTCCTTAGGGTTTGGTACTGGGATGAAACAAACTGTCTTTGGCAAAGTCTTGGAACAGAGACCTTGTTTTCAGGGGTTTTTGTAGCTTGCCTCACAGATGTTATGACTGCTTCAGAGTTCTTCACAGTGTTCTTGAGGATGGACAAGTATTTCAGGAGTGTTTTTATCTCCTCCTTACCATTAACCGTCAGCATGACTGGTGGAGTGAGGGTGCTGCCATGCCAGAGTGCGAGTCCAGCTTCTTGATGGTTTTGATGTTTCTGTGACATTTTGAGTCTTTGTCATACTTGGGAATGGGGATCTTGACATTCAAATAGACAGCAAGACAAACGTATTTCCTCAAATATGAACATTTTCATCTTTTAATTGTGTGTTGATGATAAGGGGTGTTAAGGCATCAGTCATTTGGACTGTGTAATGCATTGTCTGTTGAAGTTTGACTGATAAAGATCCATATTGTGAGTTGAGAAGAGTAAATCAGCATTCATGTTCATCTGATCTTACGTTTTCAGTCTAGTTGCTGGCAGAGTCACTAGTGATGACAATTACTTGTGGTTGTTTGTCCATTTGGAACTGCAGAGAAAAAGCTCTTTTCTTTAATTACTTTCCCAAATACCCTTCCTATGATATATTTTCAGCAGCTACACAGAAGAAAAATAAGCATTTCTCAGGCTGTGTCTTGAATTTTGGCTGCACCTGATTCCAAGTCAAAGTCAGACCAAAGGATGTGTCAAACATCCACTTTTCTTCTAACTTCTTCCTTTCTGCTGTGTTTTCCACAAAAAAGTGCAGGGTGGAGGGGCGCGGTGGCAGGCAGTGGTCAGGAGCTCGAGGTCAGGACCAGCACCTTAGCCTGTGCTCTGGGATGTGCCCACCAGAGTTTCCACTTGTCTGTATAGTTTGCAGGCATCTAGGTCAAGTAAAATTCCTCTTCCCATCTTTTCCTCAGTTTTCGCTGTTTAGGGAAGATATGCTTCTGAAGGATACTAAAGAACACTTGAAACTGCATTTTGTGTTCAAGATCCTTAGAACCTCAGCTATTTACTTTTTTTTTTTTCATCTGAGGTATGCCCCAAAAGACTGTTTCCATGTGCTTCAGGTCTCTGTATTGAGCAACAGCAGAAATTCCTATATTTTGCACTGCTAATACAAATGCTTGTGTTTGTAGGTATATATGCATGTATGTATATGTTTATTCAGGCATTTCCTTTACTTGATACTTAATTTATTAGTAATTCCTTTCTGTTTGCTCTTGCAGCTGGCAGACTTCCGGGAGGTCGTCTCGCAGATGCTGGGCCTCAACATTGCCAGCCTGGCTCTTCCCGACTATGAAATCATTACACGTCTTGAAGGGTTGATTCACTCTCATCAGCACCACTACTTCCCCTGTGTCTGCCTCAAGGACGTGGCAAGGGCACCAGAGGAACACTCGCAGAGAAACGTACGGCTTCTTCACTGAAACGCACGTTTTGCAAGGAGACAGAACAAAGTAAAATTTTCTTTTGTGCTTCCCTACATGCTAGACATGCATAGAAAACAGATATTTATTTCTGTTCCCTACTCTACAGATACCGACTTGGGCTGATTTTTAGTGTTTCAGTAGGGAGACTGAGCTGAATGGATAGAGTAAAGCCAGCGGCCTGGAGACAGCAAAGAGAAAATCCCTGGGCAGCACAGCACTTCAGTTATGAAAATGATAGGCAATATGTGAACAACGTATAGCCCTCCAGTTTCATTTCAGAGGCATTGAAGGCATGGGCCACCTGAAGTCAGTTTGCTATTTTGGGAAGTACTTGCTAATGAATGTCAGCTTCAGTGACATTCCTTGTGCTATGCCTCTGGGCAACAGGGATGGAATAAAGTGAGGGTTGTCCCGCTGCTGTTCTGCTTGCAAAATGGGACCTCTCTCTCTGTTTTTACACATAAGGACTTGAGCTTCAAGGCAGTTAGCTGGAAGTTAGACAGATAACTATCATAATTTTGGACTAAAGGTTTTTGTTTTTTTTTTTTTCTTCTGTTGTTTTCCTTATTCTGCTCTTGTGCCAAAACCAAAAGTTACTCTTTTTCAGCAAAGGCTCTTTCACAGGTTCCAGTCACGTGCCTGGTGTAGGTATATTTGGTAAAATTGCATGTTGACCTTGGTCATGTTGCCTTGAAAATTTTTCTTCAAGCTGCTGTATTCCTTGGGCAATTAATCTATAGGCCAAATAAGTGGCAGTTCTTCCGAGTTAATAAAAAGTTATTTTAAAATGCTTATCCGCTACAGAAAATAGTTGAATTACTAAAGTCTTTATTTTCAGAAAAGCAATGATGAGCTGTCCAAAATCACCTCTTAATCATAAAATCTGCTTGTCTATCACCCTTTCTGAGTGTTGTTAAACTTCATGATTTTTTAAAAGAAATTTGAACAATAAAACTGTTTTAATAGCACACTCAAACATGATTCTGTATTTTTTAGTCATCTCTTCCCATTATATATTTTATATGAATGTGTACAACAGTAAAGAAGACTTACCTATTTATTTCTGACCATTGTGGACTTCGTACAGTATCTCAGCAATGATAACCCACTCACTAAAATGGAGCACACTATTGTAAGAAAAATGAGACTTTTTCAAGTAAGTGTGGCAATTTTCGTATCTGGGTAAGGACTCAAAGCATTATAGGTTGGTTTTATTTCACTTGCCTCTGAAGAATCATTTATCAGTGACTTGTTAGTAAAAAAACAGAAAACACCCATGCTTTTGTAAAATTAGTCATTTGAGGAGACATGGTAAATCATATATTCTTATGCTCCTGTGGCTACCTGGAAAAAAATTAAATTTCCTGTCTTGTTTTATAATGTAACATTGTTTTTCCAGTAAAGCGAATGGAATAAAGGAAAAAAGTTAATATTAAATTATATAGACTTAAACTTAGGAAAGCACCACAATTACAAAGTAAAATAAAATATTGAAATGTAAATGTTTTTAGTCATGATATGTTGGTTGGGAATTTAGAGGGTGGAAAAGGATGTAATAATTTTCTAATTCTTTGTGAGAGAATACAAGTAGTTTCAGCTTTTGTTTTGCTCATTTTGTAGGCACTTCTGCTTGAGTTATTACTAAACAACAAAACCTGTTTTCTTCATCCATGTTAATAAATATTATACAAAGCATATTTTACCATTTTTTGCAAGTTAACTGAAGTTCATTCCAAAATTAGGTCCACTCAACCCAGATTGTACATTCATAACTTTAAGAAATAGTCTCTGAGAGGGCCAATCATAAAGTAAGTATGCACATTTGGCCATATTTTATGGTTGTGCGATGATTTCCTAATGTCTGCCAGGAGACTTAAAATCTCCTGCCATGCTCAGCAGTCTTGTATCCTGCCACCCCGTGACCAGCCGTGGCACCAGCAGTGAGGTTCCAGCCCCACAGAAGCCACCAGCAAAGTTCTCTGCATTACTTCAGAGGAGGCAGGTTTTCACGTGGAGTTGGTAGCAAAGCTTGGTTGCTGTCTTGCATGTTAAGCCAACAGAAAGCAGAATAAGGGCTTTCTAATTTCTTTTTTTTTTTTTTTTTAACACAGTGGATCTGTATTTTTTAAAATATTACTGCTAATGTTCATCAAGTAATATGGCTTCTTAGCTGGCTATTAATATTCCCTGTATTTGCTTTACTTTTGGAAGAGTACCGACATCTTTGTTCATTTAGCCAAAGCAAATACAAAAAAAAAAGTAAAGAAGTAATTTGACATGAACAAAGTTCAGGTGATTTTTGACCCATGTAATTTAATTAACCCCTGAACAAAGTTTAAACTGACTTGCAATCTTTTTTAAGGTTTGTTTTATACAGCATTGAACTTAGTCTTCCTTTTGGAAAAAAAATAAAACAGGCTTATGAGTGTTTTTGACATTTGTTTCCAGCATTTTCTTACTTTTTAAACTGAGATGTATTCCACACAAGACAGATCTGATAGAAATCTGAAAGTGTGTATTAAGGCTGTGCCAGCAGATTCCCCTCTTTCAGTAGATTGTTTTTACTCAGTTTGTTTGTATTAATAAAAGGTATGGGATTCAGAATTTGCTATCTGTTCATAATTATTTATGAACACTCTTTTAATGTGGCAAAGGATTCTTGATTTATCAACAGAATACATATTAAAAAAAAAAAAAGTAGTATGTGTGAAATCACAGAATGGTACAGTTACAGGGCTAGATTTTTTTTCTCCAAATCATAGCTGAACCAACTCCAATGCAGGCGATGTCATTATTTCAAATTGGCAGCGTTAAAAAAAGGCAAAACTCAACAAATTAAAATGTTGCAATTGTAGATATTGAAATGAAATACTTTACATGCCATAAACATCGTATGAATGAAATCACAATGCAAATAGAAAAATTAGTGTTATAACATTAGGAGCGTATTAAATATATGCAACTGAATTTTTGTCTATACAGCATATTGCTGACGATACATTCTTTGAAACACAGGAATGAATGCAGTAGAACGCTGATTCCTCAAAGAAATTAAGTGCAAAAGCATTGAAATGCTTTGCTGAATTAGGATTAGGAAGCACAAAGACAGATCACATTAAATTACTCTTAGGCTTCTTTTGCTCTGGAGTTTATTATTATTGCATAGAGCAGTTTGCTTGCTTTTCCTCATTTTCTTTCTGTGGATGATGTGTGCATCATCCATGTTTCCCTAGGGATGTTCAGTTACTGCATTATTTTGCACATTATGATGGTGCAGGGGAGGGAAAATAAGGATGACCCATGTTGTACAGATTTTAAATAAAAAAAAGCAGGTGCGGAAGCAGGCACGTTTCTAGAGAAAGAGGCTACTGGATAATGTATTCTCCCAAACTTTTTCATATGAAATGGAAGTATTTTTTAAAACTACAGATGCTGACTGTTTCTCTTGACCATCAAAGAGAAAAAGGGGGAAGAATGGAACAAACTGAAGTGAAATTCTCTATGAATTTAGAGAAAATGGATCTCTGATATTACTGAAGCACAGAAAACAAAATTAGTTAACTATGTGGAAAATAGAAAAAATGATAGTTTGCCAGAATAGAAATTGGAAAGAACGTTCAAACATAATCCTTTTCGAATGGAAGATTTCAGATTGCTTTGTTCTTCTGTCAAAACAAGTAAGAATCCTCTATGGCAATGTTGTTATTTTTTTCTGGAAGAAAGGAGGATGACTATATTAGACTGTACTCTTAATTACTCAAGAATAACTGAGTCAGAAAGAAAAGATCTACAAAACAAGGCAATTTTCTTGTACAAAATAGACAACAGTTTTAGTGTCAGCTAATGAGCCATGAGACAAAGAAGAACACTTTTTAAGAACACTTTTTTTTTTTCAGAAGGCAATAAATAAAACAGTTGAGATAAGTTTTCTTGTTTTTTCCACTGTGATTACTTATACTTTTGGTAAGTAAGAGAAACAAGAAAACGAAGATTACGATGTGAGAAAATGGGGTCCAAACTGTTGTCTTCCAGGTGGTCCCAGGTAGAGAAACCAACTGTCAGACGGCTTCTGGTAATGCTGCGGATGGGACTGGAGAGCAGGAATTCTAACCAGGCTGGGAGCTGAAGAGGGTCAGGCCCCCGGCTATGGACACGGGGCAGGCACGTTTCTAGAGAAAAAGGCTACTGGATAATGTATTCTCCCAAACTTTTTCATATGAAATGGAAGTATTTTTTAAGACTACAGATGCTGACTGTTTCTCTTGACCATCAAAGAGAAAAAGGGGGAACTCCTCTCCTGTGAGGACAGGCTGCGAGCGTTGGGGTTGTTCAGCCTGGAGAAGAGAAGGCTCTGGAGAGACCTTATTGCAGCCTTTAAGTACTTAAAGGGGGTTTATAAGAAAGATGGGGACAGACTGTATAGCAGGGCCTGTAGTGACAGGACAAGGGGTAATGGTTTTAAACTAAGAGAGGGTAGATTCAGACTAGATATAAGGAAGACTTTTTTTCCAATGGTGAAACACTGTCCCAGGTCGCCCAGAGAGGTGGTAGATGCCCCATTCCTGAAAAGACTCAAGGTCAGGTTGGATGGGGCTCTGAGCAACCTGATTTAGTTGAGATGTCCCTGCTCATTGCAGGCAGGTGGGACTAGATGACCTTCAAATTTCCCGTCCAACCCAGACTATTCTATGACTCTATGATTCTATATTTACAAAATGATGATTTGCGCCTTTTTTTTTTTGCCGGAAATGGAATGTTAGAGGGCTGGGTGGGGAAGATGTGTGCTTGGTCGTAAGCCAAACATTCAATTTACTATTAATATCATTTTTTAAATAGGCCATGGAATGTAATTTAATCTGAAAAAAACCCCACACCTTGATCTACAAAATATCCTTCTTACCACACCTTAGTAGTGAGAAAAGCTATTTAGGGCGCTAGTTAAGAACCCCTGAATTCATTCCAAAAGAACAAGCTTAGTTTCCCCTTCCAAAACCAGG